CTCTGGTCATCCCCTGTACTGTGTCCGCAGTCTCTGGTCATCTCCTGTACTGTGTCCGCAGTCTCTGGTCATCCCTGTACTGTCCGCAGTCTCTGGTCATCTCCTGTACTGTGTCCGCAGTCTCTGGTCATCCCTGTACTGTGTCCGCAGTCTCTGGTCATATCCCTGTACTGTCCGCAGTCTCTGGTCATCCCTGTACTGTGTCTGCAGTCTCTGGTCATCCCTGTACTGTCCGCAGTCTCTGGTCATCCCTGTACTGTCCGCTAGTCTCTGGGTCATCCCTGTACTGTCCGCAGTCTCTGGTCATCTCCTGTACTGTTTGCAGTCTCTGGTCATCAGACTCCTGTACTGTGTCCGCAGTCTCTGGTCATCTCCTGTACTGTGTCCGCAGTCTCTGGTCATCTCCTGTACTGTGTCCGCAGTCTCTGGTCATTCCTGTACTGTGTCCGCAGTCTCTGGTCATCTCCTGTACTGTCCGCACATGTCTCTGGTCATACCCTGTCACTGTGTCCGCAGTCTCTGGTCATCCCTGTACTGTGTCCGCAGTCTCTGGTCATCCCTGTACTGTGTCCGCAGTTACTCTGGTCATCCCCTGTACTGTCCGCAGTCTCTGGTCATCCCTGTATGTGTCCGCAGTCTCTGGTCATCCCTGTACTGTGTCCGCAGTCTCTGTCATCCCTGTACTGTGTCCGCAGTCTCTGGTCATCCCTGTACTGTGTCCGCAGTCTCTGGTCATCCCTGTACTGTGTCCGCAGTCCTCTGGTCATCCCTGTTACTGTCTGCAGTCCTCTGGTCATCCCTGTACTGTGTCCGCAGTCTCTGGTCATCCCTGTAGTGTGTCCGCAGTCTCTCGGTCATCCCTCTGTACTGTCCGCAGTCTCTGGTCATCTTCTGTCCTGTACTGTGTCCGCATTCTCCTGGTCATCCCTGTACTGTGTCCGCAGTCTCTGGTCATCCCTGTACTGTGTCCGCAGTCTCTGGTCATCCCTGTACTGTCCGCAGTCTCTGGTCATCCCTGTACTGTCCGCAGTCTCTGGTCATCCCTGTACTGTGTCCGCAGTCTCTGGTCATCCCCCTGTACTGTGTCCGCAGTCTCTGGTCATCCCTGTACTGTGTCCGCAGTCTCTGGTCATCCCTGTACTGTGTCCGCAGTCTCTGGTCATGCCCTGTACTGTCCGCAGTCTCTGGTCATCCCTGTACTGTGTCCGCAGTCTCTGGTCATCCCTGTACTTGTTAATTAGTTTGCACTTAATGTAACGAGTTGTTTTTTCTAAACCAAAAGCTTGATATTCAGGTTTCATTGCAGTGTTGGCACTTTGAAAGAAATAAGTTGGTTTTGGGTTGCAGTTTGGGCACTCGGGCTCAAAAAGGTTCGCCATCACTGCCCTAGGACTTGGGACTTTGAAGGCTAGAATAGTACCAGGAAAGTATTTAAAAAGATACAAACTTTTATTTGTAAAAAGTTGTGACACATAGACATACAATACAAAAATCTTTCAGAGTCATAGTACACAGCATCAAAATCAGAATATACAATTACATGATAAGGATACCCAGTATGACTGTGTTATGACTGACCATAAAAAAATATATATTATGGTATCACCATTAATGTACACAACTGCAGAGATACTATTCTCTAATTGATCCAATGCGTTTTAGAGTGACTCCACTCCTTTCACAGGGAAAAAAGAAGAACTCTGCATATGGATGACGTCATAGTACATGTACAGTGGGATCGAAAGTTTGGGCACCCCAGCTAAAAATGTGTAATAATTCTTTGTGCATAAAGAAGCCAAGGCATAAAAAGATATGAAAAAAATCTCCAAAAGGCATCAAATTACAGATTAGATATTCTTATAATATGTCAACAAAAGTTAGATTTTATTTCCATCATTTACACTTTCAAAATAACAGAAAACAAAAAAGTGGCGTCTGCAAAGTTTGGGCACCCTGCAGGAGTTAATATCTTGTACTGCCCCCCTTTGGCAAGTATCACACCTTTGTAAACGCTTTTTGTAGCCAGCCAAGAGTCTTTCAATTCTTGTTTGAGGTATCTTTGCCCATTCTTCCTTACAAAAGTCTTCCAGTTCTTTGAGATTTCTGGGCTGTCCTGTCACGCACTGCTCTTTTAAGGTCTATCCATAGATTTTCAATTATGTTGAGGTCAGGAGATTGTGAAGGCCATGGCAAAACCTTCAGTTTACGCCTCTACTTGATGTAATCCCCCGTGGATTTCGAGGTGTGTTTAGGATCATTATCCATTTGTAGAAGCCATCCTCTCTCTTTAACTTCTCCCAGCTTTTTCACAGATGGCACACAAGTTACCATCCAAAATTTGCTGAAATTTTATTGAATCCATTTTTCCTTCTACTCGTGAGATGTTCCCTGTGCCACTGGCTGCAACACAACCCCAAAGCATGATTGATCCAACCCCATGCTTAACAGTTGACAGAGGATTTCTTTTCATTAAATTCTGTGCCCCTTCTTCTCCAAACGTACCTTTGCTCATTCCGGCCAAAAGTTCAATTTTAAACCTCATCAGTCCACAGAACTTGTTTCCAAAATGCATCAGGCTTGTCTATATGTTCATTTGCAAATGTTCAAACGATGATTTTTGTGGTGAGGACGTAGAAGAGGTTTTCTTCTGATGACTCTTCCATGAAGACCCATATTTGTACAAGTATCTCTTTATAGTGGAATAGTGTACCACAACTCCAGTGTCTGCAGATCTTTCTGGAGGGATCGTGCAGTCAAATGTGGGTTTTGAATTGTTTTTCTCACAATCCTGCGAGCTGTTCTGTCTGATATTTTTCTTGGTCTTCCAGATCTTGCTTTAACTTCCACTGTTTCCTGATGACTGCCATTTCTTAATTACATTCCGAACAGAGGATATTGACATCTGAAAACGCTTTGCTATCTTCTTATAGCCTTCTCCAGCTTTGTGAGCGTCAACTATTTTCAGTTTCAGTTTTCTAGACAACTGCTTAGAAGAACCCATGGTGCTGATTGTTGGGGCAAGGTCAGATGAGTCTGGGCATTTAAAACCTTTGAGATTGACATCACCTGGTCTTCCCAGATGATTGATTGAGAACAATCCATGACACTGGCAGGTCTCAGCTTGGCAAAGGGGGCAGTGCATGCTATAAATTCTGCAGGGTGCCCAAACTTTTGCAGACGCCATTTTTTTGTTTTCTGTTATTTTGAAAGTGTAAATGATGGAAATAAAATCTAACTTTTGTTGACATATTATAAGAATATCCAATCTGTAATTTGATGCCTTTTGGAGATTTTTCCATCTTTCCTTGGCTTTCTTTATGCACATTAATGCAAATTTTTAGCTGGGGTGCCCAAACTTTCGATCCCCACTGTAAGTGCAAAAGAATGGTTGATTAAAAAACATGGTGCTTCAGAGTATAGCCTCATATGACTAGGGGCTGACCGAACCCAGACAGCGGAACCCCCCAAAAAGTCCTCAAATCACAAGGGCACATCCCAGATCACATGAAGTGTGTAAACTTTCAGGTTTAGCACACACCACCTCCTAGTTATACTTGATGGAATGTATCCAAAGGATATCATGGGGGGACACCCCAGAAAAAAAAAAGAGAAAGTGGGATACGGATAACTACGTCCACATCAAGGAACACATGGAATATCTCAATATCCAGATCTTATTATGTTTCCTCTTTGTATTAGCACAATAGATATAATATAGGGCTTCAAAGACAAATATGCCCAATTCTGTCATTCATCCCCATCAATATTGCAAATAACCAAAGATATATAGTGCTCTCTCATATGTGCAGGACCAGCCTGCGGCGTTGCAAAAAAAACGTTGTACACTGGCTCACAAGGACAGAGTATGTACCATTCAATAGTGCAAGACCTGTAGAGGTAGTGCTCCCCAGTATATATGCAGGAAAAAACCTGCAGCGTGTCAAAACCTTATATGCCAACTCACAAGGGAACAAGGATTATTACAGAATCAGTGGATTAGACAATGTTTTAGGCTTGGTGGTCAAATGGAATAAATACATTACACAGTGCCTGTGGTCAGTAGGAGGAGGAATAGTGCCACATCATTGTATTGGTTGGAAGAATAATGCCCTATCATTTGTGCCATTGGGAGGAATAGTGCTCAATATTTTATATTCATGGGAGGAATAGAGCCCCATCATTGGTATCAGTGGGAGGAATAGTAGTGCTCAATTGTTTATATCCATGGGAGGAATACAGCCCCATCATTGATGTCAGTGGGAGAAATAGTGCCCCATCACTGGTGTCAGTGGGAGGAATAGTGCCTAATTACTGTTGGCAGTGGGGAGGAATAATGCCCCACTGTTGGTTTCAGTGAAAGGAATGGTGCCTTATTATTGGTGTTGGTGGAAAGAATACTGCCTTTTATCATTGGGATAATTAGTGCCCAAAGAGCCGAAAAAAGATGGACAAAATGCCGCATCTGGCCTCAGTTTGAAGACTGCTGTGCTGGGTGGAGATGAAATCATGATGACCAAGGGAACAACCCAAGGCTGTGTGTTTATCAGTGGTGAGGAGGAGGTCTCTAACTCCTCACACTTTAGCACCATATTGGGCGAGCGTGAATTGGCCTCACAGTTTCCAGTTTTATGAATAAAGGCTCCTATATAATTTTATGGGATTGGGAGGATCAGTAGAATCTGCATTCCTCTCTTGCTGTTTTTTCAAATAGTAAACTGATAAGTAGTGAAATTTGGGTCCTTTTAGTGGTCATCTGGACCAATGCAGGAGCCCCCAGATTATACATCTTCGTGTAGCCATCATCAAAGCATGCTCCCTGAAGTGTTTGTTTTGAGTGGACTGACCTTTTAAACAGATATTAGGCTAAAGCAGTCTAGTGCTAGCATCTTCTGTAGATGCTATGAGTTACAACATGTCTGTGTCACTTGCTAAAATACATTCTTGAAGCCCTGGAGTGTACAAAAGAAGACCCATATAAGCAATAGAACATTATAAATTACCTCCTTTTGTACATGCAGCTAACAGGTTGACGATATTTAGGTGTGGACCTAGATGACTCATGATCTTCAGCTCAGACATGAGAGCTTGCTTCTCACTACTCCTGGCAGTGGCTGTGAAAATACATCAGTGATATATGTGTAAATAAACATCCATATTCCTAGAAAATTTAGACATAACAGATTTTATATTTTGATCTCATGATTACTGTCAGAAAGACAACTCACATTTTAGCATCTTCACAGCTACTTTTGTGGTGGACTGAGCGTGGCCTAATCCGTGAGCTGTAGCTTCAACAACTCTACCAAATGCACCAGAGCCAAGGGTTCGACCTGTAAAACAAAATAAATAGTCCTTCTCAATGGCATCAATGGATTTCTTTTTTCAGTGAAGTAGAAGTGTGTACAGGATTGCTTTGGTGGGAGAAAAGATCCTCACATTGGGTGTGCAGAGGCACCTGTAGAAGTATTATTACTGTTTTATTTATTAGCAATATTAGGGATTTATATACTAAGCACATGGATTAATTTTTGTTTGCACCATTAGACAGTTGTAATCAAAACAGATTACTTGCTTTCAGGCCTCTTGACACCAAAACTAAAAGAGAGGATGAATCTCACCACTGAAGACACAGGCAGGAATAAAAAAAAACACTGACAGAGATTCTAGAAGGAGGAACCCCCTAGAAGAGCATGCAGCTGCCACATCCCTGAACTATTAACACTCACTACTAATACCCCTTGGGACTTTGAGGCAGTAACCAAACATTAAACATCTTTAAAAGAAGTAATTTTATTTATACATGGTTAAAAGCATAAACATTAGGAATACCCTAAGATATGTAGTTCCAGTATGATATATCCACCACACAATATACACATAGCCTTATAAAATATAGTTGATCAAACTCATTCAATAAAATATCCAGGTGGCAGCTCCAACATGTTTTGATCAAAAGAGTCTAGATCTTCTTCAGGGGGCATGGCTGAATATCATAATCACTTAAATAATGAATAAACATGATAGAACCACACTCCCTCTGGATCACCAAGCACCAAAGCAGACCAGAATACCCAACAAGCAGCCTCAAGGAGTCATGTGGACCCAAGATGTTAGAAGAAGAACTAAAAGGGCCAACAAAGCACAATTGAATGCATCAGGTAGTTCAACGTCTGTTTTGACAGGATTTAATCATCTTGGAAATCCCCAATACACTTGTCCAAAAGTGTCTGTATGTGCCCAGGTGGTGTGGATCCCATGGAAAGAGGAGTGTGGATCTCCATGGGATCCAGACTACCTGGGCACATACAGACAGGAAGAGGGACACAAAGTAAGAGGCAAATCTCTCTAACGGTTCTCCAGGTCACAGTAGAGATCTTATAAGGGTTCTATCCCTTCACCACTCTGTTGAAAACTATGAGAAGATGTTTTGACTTCACATGCCTTTTAGCCAGACATTGTTTTGCATATTCATTTTTCATGGTCCTCGTAAAGGGAATTGGCAGGGGTGTGTCCATTCCCTATATTTTTTGCTTAAAGATGTCACTCTTTCTCAACCTAGAAAGCTGTGTGGTATGGTAGGGGCCTACTTGAAGACCCTTATGTTTATTTTTTGTGGTTTTTTTTTTACCATTGAATAACTGAATAATTTACATTTATTTTTTTTATTGAAAAGTATGGTATTGGTGGTTTAAGGGGGTTGTATATAAATTAAGAATACAAATTATGCAGCTAGTCCTATTAGAATTCATTTAAATCTTACTGGCTCATCACCATGCTCACTAATAACCACGCGAGGGCACTCTTTGCCTAGTCACTGTTCCACAGTTTAATTTGCAGCACATTTAGATGATGACTTCAGTTTCGTTTTACTATTGCCATCTAACTGCAAAGAAGCAATTTGCATTCCCATTATGTAGCTATATGCTGTCTCTTTTTCCAATGGTAATAAAGCATAACGAGCAGCCGGCAATAAAACCACTAATGAGTCAGTATAGCGTTTAGTAAACTTGTTCTGGAATGTGTGAAGAGGTGATGACAAGTGTATTATTATTATTATACACCAATATGCAGAGTACGAACAATGTAACATTAAATGCAGAAACAGTTGGGCTGTGTCATGCACGATGTTGCTAGATATTCGTGACAGGACTAAAATTCCGACTTTTGAGACAAAAAAAAAAAAATTGAAATAAAAATTCACTTGTAGTATTTTTAAGAGCACAGGGTTCCCAGCCATCACATAGTTGACAAGGTCCACATGTCTAAGAGAGAGCAAGATACAAGCCAATGAAAACATGATATGAGAATCGCTCCAGCAGAACAGAACAGAACTCGAGCCAGTACAATATAAAAATATATATCCCATTAAAAAGGTCAAATAAAAAGCATCTTTCTTTGCAATTTTCAGCTCTCTCCCTGCACTACTTCTTTTCTGCCACAAGATGCCTGTAGGTCTGCAGGATCAATTAACCCACTTACTCTGAGCCCAGGTCATCCTAGATCTGCCACCTGGGCAGTGAAAGGAGAAGCAGCACTGTGATGAGCTCATCTCTCTGTCACTCTTATCATCATGGTTCTTGTCATCACAGACTGTTTAGCCCCGTCTACTACTTCAACTTCTCACACCCAAGCTCAGGGACAAGAACTGCACTAGGTCAAATTTTGGTAGTTGCACTGCTTGTATTTTATCCCTTCCTGATACTGCCTCCAGGCATTGTAAGAGGTTCCAAATGCTGGGAAGTGGAGGTGGGCATTCTAATCATGTGACCGCTATGATTGGCAGCTACAGTGGTCACATGATCAGTTTCCAATCGCAAGTATGTATAGGGAGCTTTCCGATACCTACCAGCAGGGCTGCCATTAGAAACCACGGGGCCCCATACAGGGAAAAAAAGGGATTACTATGCTTCAGTTATGAATGAACACAGTTAGTGATCAGTACATATCATTCATTGTGTTCATTCAGGAAAGAAAGGGCTGGTAAATGTGACATATTTCCCCACACTCCATCCTGAAGGATCCTACTGTGTGCTTGGTAGGAAGGAGAGGAGGTAAGCTGGCAGCACTGTGGAAGTGGGGGCACAAAGGGGGGTCTGGGCAGCAGGGGAAACATATGGTGCACAGGGAGGGTGATGGGTGTGGCTGGGGGGGGGGGCAATTACTGGAACTGATTCCCTACATGGCCAGCAGGAGGGAGAGGAGAAGAAGCTGCTGCAGAGAGCCATACAGGGGATCGGTTCCAGTAATTGCCCCCACTCTGCCCACATCTAGCAGTCTTTGCACTCCTGCTGGCCTGGGCCCCGTACAGGAGGACTGGTGGTACCCTCTTATTCACAGCCCTGCCTGCCAGTCACTGTGCTGGGAGCTCTCAGCACAGTAAAATGTTTACATAGGGACGCATATATGTGACCACTCGCCGTTAAAGCCTACCTGCCAAGAGGCCGCACATATGCATATGGCTGGCAGGAAGTGGTTAAAAATACATTTCAATATGTAATAATGTTTACAGGGCCTCTTACATCTGTTCAGTGTTAAAGGATAGGTTCACCTCTGGGAACATGTTACATGTGCCACCCATTTTTAGGGTGGCACATGTAACATGTTCCCAATACTGCAGCCCCCCTCCCTGTGATAGAAGTTCGGGGAGAAGTTCTCTGTACAAGCTGTCATTTTTTAAAAACAGTGTTGCTGTTCGGGGTTCCACCCACAGTGTTCTGTGAATTAGTGAACTACAAGTCCTGACCACTACCACGGTGCTGTGAAGCTACCACGGAGCAATGAACTATCATGGTGCTGTACATCCTAAACGGCAAGCTGATATACTGACAGGTCTGCAGGAGTCCTGCATGGCACCAGCGATCTGCTGATCACTGGTGCAATGCTTTACAGGCTCCTACAACCAAAAATAATAAATGCACATTTCTTTACCTGCAAAAATGTGCACTTATTGTTTTTGGTCAAAAGGCGAACCTTCAAAGGCAACCTGCCATAATTAAAATATTGGAGCTGTTATTGTGGATTTATTTTAGGAGCCTAGCATTTTCTAAAGGAGGTCACTAAGGGTAACCCCTGTATTTTTCTGTAACAGATTATTTCAAAGCCATCAGGTCCACATGACAGCCAGGCAACCAGCTTTTTCCAGTGGAGGCAAAGACAGTCCCCTTGTTTCTCTCATGATAGATTTCCTTTAAATGGGAAACTTTGTATTTTATGTTAAACTTTGTGATTTGTAATAGTACTGTTTGGACTTTGAAGAAGGGGACATACCCCGAAAGCTTGTCCTCAAAATTGTATGTTAGTGCAAATAAAAAAAGTATCACGGACAGTACTCAATTGTTTCTGTCTTTAAATGGGAAAACACAGCTAACAATGACTCTGGCTCTTTCCCCAAAAAAGGTAAAAAAAGCCGAATATTGACTCATCTACCGCAGCTGTAATTCTGAAATGTTAAAGTTGATTTAACATAAAATGGTGGTAGTTAAATATTATTGAAATGTCATTTAAAATTACACAGCTTATGAAAAGTTATATTTAAAAATGATAGTTTCTATGCAGCATATGCTAGGGAATATTAACATTTGGAGTGTAATTTAGGTGGGAGATGATGCAGTTACAGAGCCATATGTTTAAAAGATACTGTAATCTTACAGAAATATGTTAACTTTCTATTCAACAGAGCATGGGTGACATATAAGTGGATATATATACAGTGCCTTGAAAAAGTATTCATACCCCTTGAAAGTTTCCACATTTTGTCATATTACAACCAAAAACGTAAATGTATTTTATTGGGATTTTATGTAATAGACCAACACAAAGTGTCACATAATTGTGAAGTGGAAGGAAAATGATAAATGGTTTTAACATTTTTTACAAATAAATATGTGAACAGTGTGGCGTGAAGTGCAGTGTGGCAAGAACCACCTTTCACTGTAATTACAGCTGCAAGTCTTTTTGGGGATGTCTCTACCAGCTTTGCACATCTAGAGAGTGAAATTGTTGCCCATTTCTCTTTGCAAAATAGCTCAAGCTCTGTCAGATTGGATGGAGAGCATCTGTGAACAGCAATTTTCAAGTCTTGCCACAGATTCTCAATTGGATTTAGGGCTGGACTGTGACTGGGCCATTCTAACACATGAATATGCTTTGATCTAAACCATTCCATTGTAGCTCTGGCTGTATGTTTGGGGTCATTGTCCTGCTGGAAGGCGAACCTCTGCCCCAGTCTCAAGTCATTTGAAGACTTTAACATGTTTTTTTCTAAGATTGCCCTGTATTTGGCTCCATCCATCTTCCCATCAACTCTGACTAGCTTCCTTGTTCCTGCTGAAAAAAAGCAACCCACAACATGATGCTGCCACCACTATGTTTCACGGTGGGGATGGTGTATTCAGGGTGATGTGCAGTGTTAGCTTTCTGCCAAACATAGCCTTTTGCTTTTAGGCTAAAAAGTTAAATTTTGGTCTCATCTAACCAGAGCACTGTCTTCCACATGTTTGCTGTGCAAACTGGACTTCTTATGGCTTTCTTCCAACAATGGCTTTCTTCTCTTCCATAAAGGCCAGATTTGTGGAGTGCAAAACTAATAGTTGTCCTGTGGACAGATTCTCCCACCTGAGCTGTGGATCTCTGCAGCTCCTCCACAGTTACCATGGGCCTCTTGGCTGCTTCTCTGATTAATGCTCTCATTGTCTGGCCTGTCAGTTTAGGTGGACGGCCATGTCTTGGTAGGTTTGCAGTTGTGCATCTCCGTGAGATGTTCAAAGTTTGTGATTTTTTTTATAACCTAACCCTGATTTAAATGTCTCCACAACTTTATCCCTGACCTATCTGGTGTGTTCCTTGGCCTTCATGATAGTGTTTGTTCACTAATGTTCTCTAACAACCCTCTGAGGGCTTCACGGAACAGCTGTATTTATACTGAGATTAAATTATACACAGGTGGACTCTATGTACTAATTAGGTGACTTCTGAAGGCAATTGGTTCCACTAGATTTTAGTTAGGGGTATCAGAGTAAAGGGGGCTGAATACAAATGCATGCCACACTTTTCAGATATTAATTGGTAAAAAAAAATGTGAAAACATTTATCATTTTCCTTCCACTTTACAATTATGTGCCACTTTGTGTTGGTCTATCACATAAAATCCCAATAAAATACATTTATGTTTTTGGTTGTAACATGACAAAATGTGGAAAATTTCAAGTATGTGTGTGTGTATATATATATATATATATATATATATATATATATATATATATATATATATGTACTCACCGGCCACTTTATTAGGTGCACCTGTTCAATTGCATGGTAACACAAATTGCTAATTATCTTATGGCAGTAACTCAATGTATTTAGGCATGTAGACGTGGTGAAGACAACTTGCTGAAGTTCAAACTAAACATCAGAATGGGGAAGAAAGGGGATTTAAGTGACATTGAATGTGGCATGGTTGTTGTTGGCAGACGGGTTTGTCTGAGCATTTCAAAAACTGCTGATCTACTGGGACTTTCACGCACAATAATCTCTAGGGTTTACAGAGAATGGTCCACAAAATATCTAGTGAGTGGCAGTTGTGTGGACAAGAATGCCTTGTTGATGTCAGAGGTCAGAGGAGAATGTGCAGACTGGTTGCTGCAACATTCAGATGGTAGGGTCAGAATTTGGAGTAAACAACATGAAACCTTGGATCCATCCTGCCTTATATCAATGGTTCAGGCTGGTGGTGATGGTGTAATGGTGTGGGGGTTATTTTCTTGGCACTAGCAAAGTGTACCTAATAAAGTGGCCGATGAGTGTATATACAGTATATACTGTATATACAGGGGTTAGACGAAAAAATGGAAAACACTACATGATTTGCAGGTGTGAAAGTGATGACATGTTTTGTGTTGAAATTGGAAGTGATGTAACATTCTTTTGTTTCTGCTGTGTAATGAGACACCTAGCTAACAGGTGGGAAGCCTCACTTTCGTCATTCACTGCATGTGCTGCTTGTAATACGGATTCATGTCAGAGCTTACTGATCTTCATAGAGGACAAATTGTTGGTGCCACTTAGCTGGTGTCTCTGTAACTGAAGTTGCCAATTTATTTGCCGTGTCAGTAGGTACAGTATCAAAGGTTATGCCGAAATATACAGTTTTCATCTGATAAGCATAAGCGCGGTTGACGTGGTCAACTGACTGAAAGAGACAAATGGACATTGCGCAGGATTTTGACCCAGAATAAGAAAACAACTGCTGCAAAAGTGACTGCAGAGCTCAATCTCAGTCTTCACTTAGGTCTTTAACTAAATGGTCAATTTGAAAGGATAAGTGCACTCTAAAATTCTCAGGACAAAGTTTTACCTTGAATGGTGGTACCCCCTTCTAGCTATATAGTAGAAATGTGTATAAATCACAATAGTGGCTGAACAGAATAATAAATAGTTTTGAATATAAAATAGGGTCAATATATAACTTTAAGTTGTTTGGACAAAGTTATTCAATGAGGATTTCTAACTTTATTTCTCTTTGCCACTTTGCTGATCAACTACCACCATTCTGAGCTGCTCAGCTTTCTTTGATGTGACCCACCCTGGCCTCTGAAACCGTATTTTGTCTTTGATGGTTAAGGGTGCTATTCAAACAGCTTACTGGTTGGGTTCCGAGACTGTTCTCTCCTTACTTGGCGGTAGTGATGTTTTCCATGTTCTGTTTGTTAACTGTTAGAACAAGAACCATATCTTGTACAGTGTCCACTTAGGGTACATCACATCTGCCATTTACCTAAGACTAATTTATCTCTTGAAATCTCCCAGCTGGAGTCATATGGAAGCTGCAGAGGGTCCACGTAGATGTACTCATGGCCGTCAGAACTGACTGATTCAATAACCTTCCACCGGATTTCATAGCGTGGTTTCTGTGGACCAAGAAACAAAAGTGGTGACCATTACTTAACCTAAAGATAAAATATTTGAGATATAGGTAGCTCCATGTGCAAAACAGTATGCACCTTTGGTTGAACATACGGAATTCTCTTTCAGTTCTGGAGCTGCTGACAACTGATCAAGAGTCCCTCACTGGATCACATCAGTCATCACATCTATAAATAGATCCAGACAGTGTCCACTGTGCCACATGGTAAATCCAAAATGACTGCCAGGAATTTCTACATGTTACATAGCAGGAGCAATGGTTCTGGTTACTTTTTATGTGTGACCTTTGATCTGCTTTGACATCAGTAACATATTGAAAAAAATATATTTTTATTTAATCCCTTATTAACCCTTAGTTAATCCTAATCAGCTCTAATTAACTTATTCCTCCTTATTAATTTTTTATTTTTTTGCTGTTTATTGTTTTGATATTTCTATTACTTTTACCATTGCATTCTACACTTAAATTTTTACATGTTTTTTTGGGGTAAAGGTTTTACATAAATGAATAAAAGCTGATCATTGTAAGCACCCCTGCCAGTGTTAAATAGTTTGTCTCTATCCACTTTTGTTGAACAGCTTGGCTCGTTAAAGGAAATTGAAAATAATAGTTACAGGCCAGATCACCAGGTGAAAATAAATGAAAAAGGCCTAAAAAAAAAAAAGAAATCAAATGTACCCAAAATGTCTGAGAATTGGCAAGCTACAGCCTATACTTTTAAGGTTGTTATGTTTAATGCCAATTTAAATAATGACTGATTGCATTTTTTTGAAATGTTAGTGTTACTTTTAGTGTACTTATTTTAATGACTGACTTAATTTTTCAGTAGCAACAGCATTTGAAATGGTGTCATTGTGAAAGATCTCTCTCTCTCGCCAGGTCTTTGGACATAGGAGTTGAGACAAAGATCCCCTCCTGGGTCGTATTCTTAAAACTGCTGGCTGCTGGAGGCTAAGAGAGTCTGGCCTGGAGAAAACAAGCTATGACTGTCTTCCACAAAATATAGTAAGTGATTGGTTAGGTGAAAAGTACATGCAGGAACCATTCCATGATGGTCTGCCTTGGACATAAAGATTGAGATACCTCTTGAACCTCCAAAATGTTGTGAAGAGAGAGATGTTATCAGAGATGCGATTAAGAAGGGATTTTGTGCCTAGTTTAGTGTTTGACCCCATCCATGTTTTGAGGATATCTTGATTCACCCCTCACTCCACTCCCATAATGAAATCTGTAAAAAACTAGTTCTTGTTTTGAACTCACTAAACTAATGCTCATGCTTTTTACACCCAGAGAAATGAACCATGCTTGAGATGATGTACTGTACCTGGGATCTTAGTCATGTACAGGTAAGAGTGCTTAGGACATTTGTTGATCAGCTGAAGATCAGTACCAATCGATCTTCACTACAATTAGTATTACATTTGTGTTGCCAATGTCCATATGTCCGCTCTCCTAGGTTCTGCTATGATTACAAAGTAAAAGACATAATCTGATTGTTTACCATGGGCAGCAATCATTTTTTCTGTTCCCTGCATTTATCTATAGCAGCTAACTGGTTTGAGCTAAGGTATAAAATAAAGATAGTGAGCGCTCCTGAGAGGCAGCTGCTAAAACACCAAAAGGTACCAATGTAAAACCTTCAAAGTAGACGGTATAATAGGGGTGTAGCGCTAAAAATATTAATAATTATACGGTTTCTAGCACAAAACATCCTGTGAGGATGTACTAAAAAATTTCCGCTGATAGAGTTCAAACATAGATATATATAAAATATGAATCAAATCCCAAGATAATAAAATCAGCAGCAGACAAACTTGTGACGCCAACCAGTAGTTAAAGTGCGCACTCACCGGAAGCGCTTGGGCAATGTGCATGTGATATAAACCATCAAAGTATCTGTAGATGGGCAGGTCAATCCGGTGAACTTATCCCCTATGGTGTAGTCATCAAGCTATAATAAGTTGTCTGCTGAACAGAGGTCCCCTGTCAAATTTCACATCATTGCAGGATGTAATAACAATGACTCCAGAGACAGCAGCAAAAACCCCTTGAACAGAGGAAACTATTCTCCTTGATGGGTTTATATCACATGCGCATTACCCATGCGCTTCCAGTGAGTGCGCACTTTAACTACTGGTTGGTGTCACAAGTCTGTCTGCTGCTGATTTTATTATCTTGGGATTTGATTCATATTTTATATATATCTATGTTTGAACTCTATCAGCGGACATTTTTTAGTACACCCTCACAGGTTGTTTTGTGCTAGAAACTGTATAATTATTAATATTTTTAGCGCTACACCCCTATTATACCGTCTGGTTTGAGCTAACAACATTTGCTTTCAGTCACATGAAAAATTCCAATTGGATGCTCTGCTTTAAAACATTATGCATCATGCCATTTGCTGTCAAAGAAATGATGCTGCTGCAAGAATACATGTAGCTGATATCTAAATGGCATCAGCATCAGTTAATAAACACTGGGGTTGATTTACTAAAACTGAAGAGCGCAAAATCTGGTGCAGCTTTGTGTAGAGACCAATCAGCTTCTAACTTCAGTTTGTTCAATTAAGCTTTGAGAAAAAACCTTTTGCACTCTCCAGTTTTAGTAAATCAACCACACTATATTTACAATGGATGGCTTAGACCAAAATTTACATATTGATCAAAAGGTTGAGGCATGTAGGACAACATGATGTTTAGTTAATATCAGAAGCTGGGCAATGCTTACCTTTTTCCACAAAACAATAAGTATCATTAAGAAGATCAAAGCCAAGGCCACCAGTCCCACAATAGCACATATTAACACAAGTTTAAAAGGCAAATCTGCAGATATAGAATAGAAAGACACATATGTATTAAAGTATTTGTATTTAGAGGAGTAAAGTGCATCGGCCTAATATATAAATACGTCCCATGAAAAGGTGGAATAGGAACTGGTCTAATAAAAAATCATGAAGGTACAGCTGACCACTACAGTGTGCCTTATAATATAGTTACATAGTTAGTCTGGCTGAAAAAAGACAAAAGTCCATCCAGTTCAACCATTAAAAAAAAAGATTTAATCTTATACCCACAGTTGATCCAGAGGAAGGCAAAAAAAAAAACCCAGCAAAGCTTGATCTAAATTGCTCCTGCAGGGAAAATAATTCCTTCCTGATCCCACGAGAGGCAATCGGATATTCCCTGGATCAACTTTACTTATAAATGTTAGTATCCAGTTATATTCTGTGTATCTAAGAAACAATCCAGGCCTTTTTTAAAGCAATCCACTGAGCTGGCCAGAACCAACTCTTGAGGGAGTCTATTCCACATTTTCACAGCTCTCACTGTGAAGAAACCTTTCCATGTTTGGAGATTAAATTTCTTTTCCTCCAGATGTAAAGAGTGCCCCCTTGTCCTCTGTGGTGACCTCAGGGTGAATAGTTCTACACCGAGTTCACTATATGAACCACTGATGTATTTATACATGTTGATCATATCTCCCCTTAATCTCCTCTTCTCAAGAGAGAATAAATTCAGTTCCTCTAATCTTTCCTCATAGCTGAGCTCCTCCATGCCTCTTATCGGTTTGGTTGCCCTTCTCTGTACTTTCTCCAGTTCCCCAATGTTCTTTTTGTGAATTGGTGCCCAAAACTGAACTGCATATTCCAGATGAGGTGTTACTAATGATTTGTACAGGGGTAATATGATATCTCTCTCTCTGGAGTCTATACCTCTTTTAATACAAGAGAGGATTTTGCTCGCTTTAGAAACCGCAGCTTGGCATTGCATGCCATTATTAAGCTTGTGATCTACCAGAACACCCAGATCCTTCTCCACCATTGATTCCCCCAGTTGTACCCCCCCTTAGTATGTATGATGCATGCATATTCGTAGCCCCCAAGTGCATAATCTTACATTTATCAACATTAAACCTCATTTGCCACATAGTTGCTCAATTAATATGTGCAGTAAAAATCCCTCTTCCTGTAATTAGACATTCTAGTGTATTAGAATGCAAAAGGTAAACTAATTATGGTGTGACGTGATGCCTTAAAGAGACCCTGTTGCCAGAGCCTAGATCTCTCTATTTTGTTTACAATTTACTGACTCATTGAGCACCAATAGTACAGCCTTCGATATATTCATTACCGCTCTCCTACACAGCAGCTGTTCTGCCCCCACCCCTCCTCTCCTCTGCCCATTCACAGAAAGCTTTGGATTTTATAAATGGATTCACAGAATTCAAAGTGTTCTGTGATTGAACAAGGGGAGAGGAGGGATAGGCAGTGCAGCTGCAAATGCCAGTATGGCTGCTGTGTAGAACACCCATAGCTGGGGTGTTTCAGCGTCAAAACTATAGTGATAGTGATACTATCAGTGTTCAGTGAAACAGTAAATTGAAAAAATGAGTGCTCCATGGGGTGGCAAACACCTCATTGCACTTAATTCCTTCTGTGCCAGCAGATTTCAAAAAAAAAAAATTAGTTTTCTTAAGATATTTTTCGTCTTTAGGGTTTTGTGGTATTAACCTGTAAAAGGACATCCAAAAGCCCTGAGACTGCTGTTGGAGGCTACCATCTTGAATGTGATTTTGGCAGCTCCAGCAGATTTGAGCAGTCACTCAAATTACAATCTACAGAACAGGTTGTCAAACTGGCTGCCCTTCAACTGTTGCCAAACTACAAGTCCCATGAGGTATTGCAAGATTGACAGTTACAAGCATGACTCCCAAAGGCAAAGGCATGATGGGACTTGAAGTTTGGCAACAGCTGGAGCACCACCAATTTGACACCCCTGCTCTACAGTATTCCTCCTCACACCTCCCCCAGAAGCTGCACTGGGGTTTATTTACTAAAGCTGGCGAGTGCAAAATCAGGCTCACTTCTGCATAGAAACCAATCAGCTTCCAGGTTTTATTGCCAAAGCTTCATTGAACAAAATTAGGTTACAAGCTGATTGGTTTCTTATTCAGAAGTGAGCCTAATTTTGCTCTCACCAGCTTTAGTAAATAAACCCCATTGGGTTGTGTAGGAGGTGAAGAGGAGCTTGGCCAGTAGGAGAGTAATTGACACCCCCTGAAAAGAAGAGGGCTATGACAGGTAGTGATAGGGCTGTGCCAGGGAATTAACTGTTCCTGGAGTAGCCAATTGTTCTAGCAAAGGCACATTGCAAATGAATAAAAAATGATTTGTGGAAAGAAAAATACTACGAAAACAAACAATTTAAATACCTAATTTGAATGTGCTATTACCTCTATTTTTAGTTGGTGACAGGGTCTGTACTGAGAAAAATATGTGGACTGCCATTGCTGTCCATTTCTTCTGGCAATAATAGTTTCTTGGCTAACAATTTCAGTCCAATGGCTGCATCATAACATACAATGTACCACCTGCCATTGCTGTCCGTTTCTTCTGGCAATAATAGTTTCTTGGCTAACAATTTCAGTCCAATGGCTGCATCATAACATACAATGTACCACCCAAACCTTGAGCTCTTAAAAATAAAACTATAGGCAAAACTTTAATTTTTGATAGACTACAGGGGGTTGTAACCCCTGCCATTTTTTTGCCATCTGTATCCCTTTGGGAAAATTTTTGTTCACTTCCTGCCCCATAGCCAGAACACTAAGTGAGAATAAATCCTTGTGAATTTAGGGAATCCCTTAGGGAACCCGGGTCACTGGAACTAGTGTCCCCATTGAAAGATTTTCCCTATATTACTTCTCTGGAGACAACCCAAAATGTGGGATTTTCTTACTTTCTTACTTTCACTTTCATGATAATGGTAAACAGGACAAATAGAGAGAGTGAATCTCCCTAATGGGGGCACAGGCAGCAATAATACCCAACATATGTTCTAATCCTTCTCCACTCCATACAAAACTGAAAAAAAAAGGTTTTGCCTTTCGTTATACTCTAACCTTAATTAGGACAGATGGTGTGCACATCTAGTTTACAACCGATAATAAAATCAGCCAGCACACTAAGACAGCGTTAATTACAGTAAACATATCTCCCCAGCCTCCACTTAACATTACACAAAAGGGGAAAGCTTGAAAGGATTTGAAAACAAGTAAAAAGCAAGAAAAATAGTAAACAGTAATTTAAAAAATATTTTTGAAGTAACACTATATGAAAGGAATAAATATAAAGTTGGCCTTATCCTAATTTAGCTGGAAAAATGGAAGTATGCTTTAAATCTATGTCAAGGCAAAATAGTCATCTCAGATTTCTACAATATAAAGGCTAAAACAGACTCTAAGCAGATATAATGCAATGGAGGCTGTTTACTAAAACTGGAGAGTGCAAAATCTGGTGCAACTTCGCACAGAAACCAATCAGATGTCATGTTTTATTGCAAAGGCTTAATGGAACAAGCTGAAGTTGAAGCTGATTGGCTACCATGCACAGCTGCACCAAATTCTGAGTGCACCAGTTTTAGTAAATCTACCCCAATGCTTCCAATTATATATATTTAACAGACCAAAAGGGAGCAAATACGAAACATTAATTATAAAGGTTTACATGCATTTTAATAAACATCCATGTGGCTAACATTTACTTACAAGGTGGCACCAGGGTGACGTCTCGATGGTGACTAATTCCAAGAGCATTCTCACCACGGCAGCGCAAAGAAAGAGAATCTTTAATACCACGAACATGGAGAATGCTTTTCACATAGTAGGTCCCCAACTCTTCTGGCTGCGAATAGCTGATGTTCATATCGTATTTAATCTGTGAGGTTGTGTTGTGTAGAGGTTCCCATTGGTTCCATCCCTTACTGCTGCACCTGTTGGTGACATGACATTTTTTCACATGTCAAAGTAAAAATTCCGTTTGAAACATTGTAAACAAAACCAAGCACATTAGTGCAGTATAATTGTCAGCATCCTATCATCTCATTGAAGGAGGACATATAAAGTCATTTTTTTTGTCACTAACATTTTTATATTATTATTATTATTATAATAATCAGCCCGAGCTGACAGGGAGGAAGACTGTTTGTAAACAAAACAGTTTTCCTCCCCGTTGGTGATTGTCGGTAATCATGGGGCGCCGGCGGGTAATCACCATCCGGGACCTGGTGATTGACATCTGCAGCCGCAAATGACGGCACAGGTAGGGCGCACGTGGTTTGCACATGCTCCCTACCCGAAAATGCAAAATCACGTATATATACACATGATTTTGCACACCCATGCCGCCGTGTGGCAGTATATCTGCTATACGGTGGTGGGTGAGCAGTTAATATGCTTAGGATATGTCTCAAAACTGTATGTGATATTATGGAACAGGTTAGTATTAATCAGGGATAATAGGTCTAACTGGTATATGCCTAACTTTTATTTTACCGACGGATATAGTGGGTGCTTTGATTTGTGAGTGATGTCATGTGAAATGGTTTACGTGCACACTGTTTTTTTCATTTAGTTTTTTTTTTTCTGCAAATGGTGTGTTGTACACCCTAGGCTTCTCTAAGAATAGAATGTTGCTAAAACCTTGCTGCAAAAAAAGCAGTTTAACCTAAAATAAAGGCCCTATGAACCTGTATTAAAAACCAATAAACCCGCAAATACCACCCACCTGAAACAAAAGCCCATTGCAGCAAATAAAATATGTTTGCTATGGATGGGACAGCAGCTAAAAATAACTACTCTTACACACTGAAAAAAGACTGGGTAGGTTTAGAAATAACTACACCTGCTGAAAGCCAGAAATATGGTATTGAATAATCAAAGAAAAATGTTTATGGTAGCCATAAAAAAGTGCTATA